TTATTCTGAAAGCATACTATTGCGAGGTTGCGTAACCTGACTCCTTACAATTTTGCTAATCATCAACATTGGTGTCGGTATCTTTGCTATATCTTTCACGCCAATCCAGTTAGCACAACGTTTGGACTAAATGGTCCATTCGTTTCACTCTCACGACACGTAATAAAAGACAATTCTTTCAAAAGACTTGCATGAACTTTGCATTGAGATTACCATTCGTGAACAAAATTTTGTTTACAAGTTAGCAGTTGGCATTAAAGAAATTCCAACACAAAGCAATCAAGCATGACTGGATTATTCAGCGGTCTGGACCAGAACCAAGTATACCATATAACCTTATGGACTTGGGAGCATTGTCATCCCGCGAATATGGAATCAGTCAGCTTAAGGCAAATCCCCAAACATCAGTTGATTATGGGGCAAATCATTCAAGGAGCGGTTGATCAGAAGAGAATCATCTTGAGAATACTGATCAGGGGCAGGCCACCCAGAGTTTCTTTGACTTAAGAATAGGTCCCTCCGATGTTCAATCGAGGTAAGTTAAGTCGCTTCCACGCTCTTTCAGGGGAAAAATACTCCAAGAGTACATTGAAGCCAACTACCACAAGAATAGGCTAATGAATCCATTTGTGGTACAAACTCTGGGGCAGATCATCTCGAGTTCGTCTCATGGCAAGCTGCTCAAGCAAGTTCATTCTTGTCAACAACTGTTAAGTTTAAAGCGATGTCAGGAAGTCAGGCTTGTCCTCCACTTTCCCACATAACCCAGAGCCCAATCTGCATTGGCAACTACCAAAAGTCCGCCACGTCGGCACTTGCATTCCCAATTACTCGGCTGCATCATATGCATCATACGCACCGCATTCGATTTCATAAGCATCTTGTACCATATGCATACCCAGAATTACATCATACTTTCCTCAGCTCTTGCATCACCGCGTGTTAGCATTTGCATTTGCATCTCCATTCGTTATGGAACATCATTATCATCAAGCATTTACATATACGAGATCAGATCCAGGATCAATTTCGAAGATTTTCAAGATCCTAATCAGCCCGGTCAGGGGCATTCTCCACAAGACTATGGGCGTTCCCCACAAAGTTTTGCAACTTATTGAGCTTCAAGGCAATTAGCAGCCCGGTCAGGGGCATTATCTGCAAAGTCCGTGGCTCTCCCCCATGAAATTCAAGATCACTAAAGCAAAATTCAGCCCAAACCAGGGGCATCTTTTCAAGACCATGAGTGTACTGCATGATGTATTGCAACCTCGTGGTTAATCAGATCTTCAAATCAACAATCAGCCCGGACAGGGGCATCTCCAGTAAATCCATGGGCGTTTCCCAGTGAGTTATCTCCAGAAGACTTCAGTGATAAGTGGCAATCTCTTCAGAGAAGCTTATCCATCTTCAGCGATAAGTGGCAATCTCTTCAGAGAAGCTTATCCTTCATCAACGATAAGTGGCAATCTCTTGGGAGAAGCTTATCCGTCTTCAGTGATAAGTGGCAATCTCTTCAGAGAAGCTTATCCTTCATCAACGATAAGTGGCAATCTCTTGGGAGAAGCTTATCCGTCTTCAGTGATAAGTGGCAATCTCTTCAGAGAAGCTTATCCATCTTCAGCGATAAGTGGCAATCTCTTGGGAGAAGCTTATCCGTCTTCAGTGATAAGTGGCAACCTCTTCAGAGAAGCTTATCCATCTTCAGCGATAAGTGGCAATCTCTTGGGAGAAGCTTATCCGTCTTCAGTGATAAGTGGCAATCTCTTCAGAGAAGCTTATCCTTCATCAACGATAAGTGGCAATCTCTTGGGAGAAGCTTATCCGTCTTCAGTGATAAGTGGCAATCTCTTCAGAGAAGCTTATCCTTCATCAACGATAAGTGGCAATCTCTTGGGAGAAGCTTATTCATCTTCAGCGATAAGTGGCAATCTCTTCAGAGAAGCTTATCCTTCATCAACGATAAGTGGCAATCTCTTGGGAGAAGCTTATTCGTCTTCAGCGATAAGTGGTAATCTCTTCAGAGAAGCTTATCCTTCATCAACGATAAGTGGCAATCTCTTGGGAGAAGCTTATCCGTCTTCAGTGATAAGTGACAATCTCTTCATAGAAGCTTATCCTTCATCAACGATAAGTGGCAATCTCTTGGGAGAAGCTTATCCGTCTTCAGTGATAAGTGGCAATCTCTTCAGAGAAGCTTATCCATCTTCAGCGATAAGTGGCAATCTCTTGGGAGAAGCTTATCCGTCTTCAGTGATAAGTGGCAATCTCTTCAGAGAAGCTTATCTTTCATCAACGATAAGTGGCAATCTCTTGGGAGAAGCTTATTCATCTTCAGCGATAAGTGGCAATCTCTTCAGAGAAGCTTATCCTTCATCAACGATAAGTGGCAATCTCTTGGGAGAAGCTTATTCGTCTTCAGCGATAAGTGGCAATCTCTTCAGAGAAGCTTATCCTTCATCAACGATAAGTGGCAATCTCTTGGGAGAAGCTTATCCGTCTTCAGTGATAAGTGGCAATCTCTTCAGAGAAGCTTATCCTTCATCAACGATAAGTGGCAATCTCTTGGGAGAAGCTTATCCGTCTTCAGTGATAAGTGGCAATCTCTTCAGAGAAGCTTATCCATCTTCAGCGATAAGTGGCAATCTCTTGGGAGAAGCTTATCCGTCTTCAGTGATAAGTGGCAATCTCTTCAGAGAAGCTTATCCTTCATCAACGATAAGTGGCAATCTCTTGGGAGAAGCTTATCCGTCTTCAGTGATAAGTGGCAATCTCTTCAGAGAAGCTTATCCTTCATCAACGATAAGTGGCAATCTCTTGGGAGAAGCTTATCCGTCTTCAGTGATAAGTGGCAATCTCTTCAGAGAAGCTTATCCTTCATCAACGATAAGTGGCAATCTCTTGGGAGAAGCTTATCCGTCTTCAGTGATAAGTGGCAATCTCTTCAGAGAAGCTTATCCTTCATCAACAATAAGTGGCAATCTCTTGGGAGAAGCTTATCCGTCTTCAGTGATAAGTGGCAATCTCTTCAGAGAAGCTTATCCTTCATCAACGATAAGTGGCAATCTCTTGGGAGAAGCTTATCCATCTTCAGCGATAAGTGGAAATCTCTTCAGAGAAGCTTATCCTTCATCAACGATAAGTGGCAATCTCTTCAGAGAAGCTTATCCTCCTACATCCTTTTGGTGTTAGGGTTGATCTTGCGCCGCTCCATCATCCTTTTGGTGATGGGTCTGGCATCCTTTTGGTGTCATGACTAGCGTTGTGCTCTCCATTATCCTTTTGGTAATGGATCCCTTACATCCTTTTGATGTAGGGGCAGTGTGTGTAAATGTACTATCATCCTTTTGGTGATGGGCTTGGGCTTGTCTTTCTTTTTGTATCAAGTTTTCCCTGTTAACATCCTTTTGGTGATCACGACCTTTGAAGCCATCTTGTACTTTATTTCCCAGTCATTTTTCTTCTTCTCGGACAAATTCAGGGTCTTTTATATCTAATCATCTTCTACCTCAAAAGAATGAATGCCATGGCATTTCATCTTACCCGGTTAAAGCTAATTAGATAGGGGCATCTGTCATACCCCAAATTTGTCCCACCTTTTATTTTTTTTATGTCAAATAGTGGTGTGGCGATCTTTTCCTTGGATGATCCATTGGCCGTAACTCTTTAATATTTAGGTAATAGAGATCTTGTGTGGTTTCTATAATTAAAGGTTTTTGAAAAGATGTGGAGCTTAACAAGAGAAAAAATGGATATTCAAGTAATGTGGAGCTGGTATTAAAGTAATGGGGTCAAATAATCTGAACTTTGTCTTGATCTATGGCAATTTTTGTTGTTAACTACAAATTATGGAGTAGGTTCAAATAGCAATTGTCAGATTAGTAGCAAGCTCTGATTTAGTTGTTTGGTTTTGGGTGTGGGCCAACCTAAAATCCAATTTGGCCTAATTAGTGGGTTTTGTCAAAGTCATGGTTGAATTATATCATCAATCCAAATTGTGGTGGAGTAAAGGGCCAGGTGATTATTAAATTCTCAAGTTCAAAGGTCAGTTGAGTAAAATGATATCAAATTCAATTCGTGTTACGTAGATGCAAGGTGTTATGTTCAAGATAAATAATGTGATAGCTTGTATATGAGGTATCCATGTCATAAATGGTGAAATACTTTGATGATATGTATGATACAATGTTTCAAATTTCCAGAAATTCACATTTTATAGGAACAACACATCTAAACAAGGAAGGAGTGTCAGCTGGGCCTAAGAAACACATCACCACGGCAAGTACATCAAGAGAATCATAAGTTGCCTTGAAGCCTCCATCATCTCCTCTTTGAAGTCTACCAACTCTCTCTTGTGATTCATTGCAATCTAGTGCTCTTGCAAGAGGTTCTATTGTGGTTTGTTCCCAGACACTTACTCTGTTGCAACCTTATCAATCCCACCTCTGAGAGGTCTTCTTGGGCATAGCACCTTCTCGTGGATTAACCTGCACGAAACCGTTGCTGATTCTTTACACGCAACTGGTACGGTTCGATATTGAAGAAACTGCTACAAAGGCACAACACCGAAATTTTATCAGCACAGCCATCATTATGCATAATTCACAAACTGATGAAGAAAATGATAAGCGAATAACAGAGATACTATGGACATTTCACCTGCAGGAGCTTCGGCGAAACTCTACGCCCGCACCTCAACAGCATATGAATCATATAGCTGTCCCTCGCGCGTGAAAGCGAGACTTGCGCATCTCATGTCACCGTCACCGTAGTCCCGCGAATCCCTTACGGAAGGGATAGAACGCAGGCTCACAGCAGCGCCTGTAGTATAAAAAACCAGAAGCACAACACAAAAAAAACCTGTTAATTAAAAGACAAAAAAAAACCTAATTTTTACACTTTCTGTAACCACCCAATAGCTTATTCAAATCTGGGTGGAACCGGTTTCAAAATTCGGTTACTGGGTCTGTGTTTTTGAAGTCTGGATCTTATGGTTAAGAAGAATGGAAGAAACTGAAGGTGTGAATTGTTGTAGTGAAGGTAGAAGCTCTAGTGAGAGTCGACCTCCGAATCCTAATCCATCTATTGCTTCTGCGTATCGGCAATGCAAACGCAATGATCCTGTCGTTTTGCCATGCAGAAACTCCCTTGTTCGTCACGCTTCTCTTCAAACGAAAATGAAGTTGTCTGATGTATCTGCTGAGGATGTTTCTGAAGATTTCCTTCCAAAGCTTCGTTCGGGAGGATACGCTGATGTTGGGTCCCGGTCAAGTATGGAGGATGTGTATGTTTGTGTGGACCACTTTATGCAGGATCATGGGCTCAACAATCATATAGTTGGACCAAGTGCTTTCTATGGGGTATTTGATGGACATGGCGGGAAGCATGCTGCTGACTTCGCTTGCAACCATTTGCCGAAGTTCATTCTTGAGGATACAAATTTTCCAGTGGATATTGAAAGGATAGTTGCTTCGGCCTTTCTGCAAACAGACAACGCATTTGCGGAAGCTTGTTCTCTGGATGCTGCCCTTGCGTCTGGCACCACTGCATTGGCTACCCTTGTTATAGGAAGGTTACTGGTGGTTGTAAATGCTGGAGATTGTCGAGCAGTGCTGTGCCGCAGTGGAAAAGCAATTGAAATGTCAAGAGATCACAAACCAGTTTGCATGAAAGAGCAGAGGCGTATCGAGGCATCTGGGGGGTATGTCTATGACGGACATCTAACAAACAACTTTTTCACACGCACACCGCACCAGAAAACCGTCAACTCCGTCGTGAAATCGTGGAAGTTCTCTGCTGCAAAACTAGCCACTGCAAAATAAAGAAGAAGAAGGAGTTATTTTAGTAACCCTGATACTCTTGCACCTAGAACAACAAACCCATTAATCCACAATAACACCAAAAGAATAAGATACCGAAAAGAGGAAACTGAAGCCACAACCTGAAAATAGCAGCCATGGATTAAAAGGAATCCTGAATTCAAAACACCCACAACAACAAGACAAGGTGAATTTGAAGTTCCAACAGCAAATGATACATCGATTCTATACCTGCAAAATCCACAAACAACACATCAAAGCCACAATGAACATGTTACTTTAAGATGGAAAATTGAGAAAATAACAAAGTCATTGTGAAAAGGAAAATATGAAGGTCGCTGCAACAAGTCATAATGTTTACGTCCAGGCAACATTACGCAGCAGCTGCCCTGTGCCAAGCTATGCTCCGCCATACCTCATTCACCACACGGTCCTGTCTTTGAGAGCAATTCTATTGCTCGCTATGTTGCCCGATCCAAGGATGACAACACTCTCTATGGATCTTTCTTTGATCGAATATGCTCAAGTTGAGCAATGGATTGATTTTTCGTCTTTTGAGCTTGATTCCAATATTCAGAGGTGGTACTACCCTAGATTTGGATATGGAACATACTTTCCTCCGGCCGAGGAGGCTGCAATTACGGCCGTGAAGAGAGCATTGACTGCTTTGAACACTCACCTTGCCTCCAATACTTACTTGGTTGGCCATTCTGTCACCCTGGCTGACATCATTATGATAAGCAATTTGTATTTTGCTTTCACTAGAATCCTGGTCAAGACCTTCACCTCTGAGTATCCTCATGTCGAGAGATACTTCTGGACTTTGGTCAACCAGCCAAACTTCCGCAAGATATTAGGCCAGGTCAAGCAGGTTGAAGCTGTACTGCCCGTTCAATCTGCAAAGAAGCCATCCCCTGCCCTAAACTCAAAGTTACTGCCTCAAGGTAGCAGTGGCCTTGTAAGTGGAAAAAATAATGCATTGGTTCATGAAGGTCGCCCAACAAGCTTTGCTTCAGCTTTAGGGCCTGCGCCTCAAATATCTTCACCCGTTAAACCTGTTTCTGCTGTATCCCCTGAGAAGCCCCAGGCCCCAGCTGCAAAATCGAATATTGATGACCTACAACGCAAAACTGTATCTCTTCTGCAAGAGTATGTCAATGTTCGGCTTTTGGATGAGGCATTGCAGTGCGTTGAGGAATTAAAAGCTCCGACTTATTACCCTGAGTTTGTCAAGGAAGCCATTTCCCTTGGATTAGATGAAAGCCTCGCCGTTGTATGGCAAATTAGTGGACCAATTACTCCCTGTTGATGTGGTGTAGCGGCCATTGAGTTAAACAAAGAGTAGACTTGTCCATCTAGCTCGGAGATCCTTGCTAGTTCCGCGGTAACAGATTCTGAAGTTGAAAATACACCTTGAATTCTCTTCATGTTTTGAACAACCGTCTCTGTCACAATTAGGTTGTCACCTGCAAGAGACAAAACAACCAAAGTTATATCTCACATACTTTCCGTAATGCTTTTCCTAATGCGCAAATTCAACACAAAAAACCTGTGGAATTACCGTGTGTGCTCCAAATCCCTCAATTCACGCTGCGTCTGCATTATAAGACACCAAATCGTACTCGCAGCAACAAACACACACCAGCCCGCACGTTGAATTCGGACAACCACTACCCAAAACTGCCACCATAGAAAACCTGCAAATCACAATACAGCTTGCATAAAGGAGGGGACCACACCGCAAAAGCACACACCAAAACCGTACCCGCTTACTACCACAGCAACACATACCATACAAAGAAAAAACCAATACAAAACCTCAAAACAGACACTGCTACATACCAGCCTGCTGCACCAAAGCCCACTCCAGACAAAGCTCTGTCACTGCCAGACAATACCTGCTACTACACTCCAAATTGCACCTGCTACTGCTTCATAACACACCAGACCTATCTCTGCTACAAGGACCAATTGACAGCTTGTATGATAATCCATAGCACCACACACACTATTCTGGACTCTCTCCAAATAAATCTACAACTTCTACTTCATCTTCAAAAGAAAAAAAACCTCAGAGAATCTACATTTTCCTTCTTAAAAAAAAAACTTTCTCCAAACAACCATCATGAACAAAAACTTCATAAACTTCTTCATCTTCAATCCAACAACCAATAAACAAAACCACAAATCTCAGCAGTTAAACTTCAATGAAACCCCCAAAAACAATGTTCAATCTCTTCCATATTCTTCTTTCCACGGTCACCTTATTTTTTCTCCAACCCATAAACAACTTCAACAACCACAAAACCATCTGAAACCCTCCCCTGCATTCGCAAATCACAAACCTCACTCAAAAACACCCGGACACCCCTTCCCAAACCACTCGAAGACCTTCAAAATAACTTCAGTAACCCTCATCTTCGGCAGAAAATCTGAATCCCTTTCACTTTCACAAAACCCATTATGAAACCTAAACACTTCCAACCCTCTTCTTTCGAATCTACTTCAACCATCTTCATTTCAAAATCCATTCAACCACAACCCGCTCTCCAAACCTACAAACAACATAAACCCCTAAATCAGTCTAACCAAAACCAGAAGAGAAATTGGAGATGAAGTGAGAGACCGAAATAGATCCAACAAACTTAAAGTAAACAAACTGAAGGCGAACGTTTCCGAACCTAAGAGAACAAACATGACGGACGCCCTTTGAACGTGAGAGAAGTTTGGGTCGTGCGATTGCTCTGGATAGTGTCGATTTTGGATGAACCTCACTGCCATGGTTTGTTCGCGGTGTTGGATGTGGTTACCTTTGTTTTTTTTCGTTTCCCAGCTTTGGTGTTTCCGATAGGGGTCGGACTCTGCTGGTGTGGAGGTTCGTTTCGATGGTATCGGATCTAAGGCTGATCCTCTTGGCTTCGTGGGTTTTGGGCCTAGAAGCCCATTCACCTTTCATTTTCCAGATCTCCTAATTTGTATCACCCCTCTCTTCTTTTTTTATTTATTTTATTTTTTATTTCATTTTGTATTTATATTTTATTTTGGGAATATATTATTATTAGTATATTTGTAGGTACTTTTTGTTTACTTTATATTTAAATTTTTATTCAATATTTCTCTTTTATTTTCTTTTAAAATTTCTATTATACTTTTTTTTTAGAGTTATATTATATTATGGTTGTATATTTAGAAGTTCTTTTTTTATATATATTAAAGTTTAGGATCTTATTTTCTTTCTAAAAGTCGAATCTTATTTGCATTTGTTATTGGGCACTTTTTGCCTTTTTGGTCGATGACGAGACCTCCGTAATTCATTACCAGTCAAATTATTGATAGGTAATGTTGGATCTGAGACCACCTCTTTTCTCTCTTCATTACTTGTCCCGACTCGATTCAAAAACTCTGTCAAACAATTTTCAAAATCAAATTATCTTTGTATTGAATTAAAAGAGGGGATTAAGTGTAGACTTTCTTCCTCTCCGAGTGTTGGGATGCCCACTGTAGTGAGGGTGGTTCCGACACTCGTCTTTCAATACGAAGGCGCTTCCCGTCCATGTTCAAATCTCATCTCCTTAAAATCATTCCTTTGTGTTGAGCTAAAAAGAGGATTGGGTGTAGACCCCTTCTTCTTCGAGCGTAGGGATGCCCACTGTAGTGAGGGTGGTCCCGATACTCGTCTTTCGACACAAAAACACGACTTTATCCACCATCTCGCTTTCACAACTTCATCCCGCAACCCTTGTCACCTAAAACCTCGGTCCTGTACCGAGTGCATTTTCATTTCTTTTTCATAACAAAAACTTGAATGGTCGTGGAGTGGTTAGGCGTAGGCCTTCTCCTATCCCGAGTGCTGACGTTTACCGTAGGGTTCTCTGTCGCAAAGCACTTACCATTCAAAACCAAAATCATCATTAATAAGAGAACGAAGTTCTCTTTGCATTGAATTAAAGAGAGAGGATTGGGTGTAGACCTCTTCTTCTCCGAGCGTAGGGATGCCCACTGTAGTGAGGGTGGTTTCGATGCTCGTCTTTCAATATGAAGACGCCTCGTTCGCCACACCCTTTTATAACAAAAACTTTGAGATAAAGAATTGGGTACTACCCGTAGGGGTTACTATCCGAGGACCTGTCTCGCCCCCTAAAAAACAATCCAATCAATCAAACGTGACTTCTAGCCCCGCGTGGCGAAAACTAATCAATCTTTCAACAGGATATGTTACGTCCGTTCTACCGCAAACAGGTAACGCCTAAGTCTCCAACGAGCGAGCAGCAAAACACCTAACTGCTAGAATGCGCACGATAGCATCATCCATAAAAAACATCAACACACCGTAGGCCGAACTACGGCTGCTCTGATTCTTTACTTTCTCAATAAAGATACGTAGGCACAAGGGCCACAATCCTTGCCGAGCACATTCACCCCATATCTGTAGTTCCCCGAACTACGTCGACTCTGACTTTCTCATACCTATTGAGAATACGTAGGCCTAGGACCGCGAAGTCCTATCGAGTCTGTTCTTTCTCTTTTTCCCCGTTCTCTCTTTCCTCCTAACTTTTTTTGTTTCTAACCCTTCTTTTACCCTGTGGAACACTTTTTTATAGCATAATGTTTAAGTAAATAAATTCACACATCGACAAACAAAAGGTTCCCATCGAGTACGATGGATGCGAGGGATGCTAATACCTTCCCCTCGCATAACCGGCTTCCGAACCCGTTCATGGTCGCGAGACCATCTTATCCATTTCTTTTTTTAAGGTTTTCTCGATATTTTCCTTTCCCCTCATGGGATAAATAAAGTTCGGTGGCGACTCTTCTGTCTATCCTTTTCGCCTCCCCGTCGTTGCGCGATGAATTTTTCGAGTAGCGACACCTGTTCCAGCTCTTCGTCGGCATCATCAATTTTTTTGAAAGTCATATTTGCTTCATTGAAAAGTACATCTCGACTGGTGATACACCTCCCGTGACCTAGCTCTAGGCACCATAGCCTATAAGCTTTGACTCCT